GAAACGTCATGCATAAAAAGCTGCAGACCAAGGTCAAAAACTCGGAAAATAACTTTGACACGATCACAAATGAATATCGAAGAATCCACTTAATGGAATACGCAGTTTTAAGCAGGTTTTATCATTGATCGATGAGTTGTTTTCTTCTCATAAAAGCGCGAGGTCCAACGTCTGCACAAAGTGCACTCCATGCAAATTTCTGACGGTCAGTAACCCAAAACATCCAAAAATAACGGCGATTATAAGGTTTATTAGTCTGCTATGTTTATCAGACATACATGAAATGCATAAACTGTAACTCCATCATAATTACTTTAATAGTTGATACTCGATCAACACCTGGTCTTAAAAGTCGGGGCATAAGAAAGAAAACACGTTATTTTTTCAGAATTGGCCTTATTTATCAAAGTAATTTAATGTAACGAAATTAAGCTAGTGTTACGTCAAATTGTTAATGTGGATAGTTATTCGGTATGAGAAGTTATGATTCTATACATAAAAAAAGCTATTTTTTTGAGCCTGAACATGATAAATTGTATTTCCTCATTAATTCCTCGTAGATAAAGCTAGAAACTACTTGTATACATGTGCTGTATGTAGACCAATTGTATTATACTGATCTGTGAATTTTATTTGTAATTGAATACATTTTATTTTGTTTCATCTTGAAAAGTCAAATTAGTTGAAACTTCTTGAAATTTTTCAAAGGGCCATCACAATGTACAGATTTTGAAGGTGAAATTTCATCGTATGATGTACAAGAAAGATACTCTGAAAAAAATTTGTTATCACTCTACTGTCAAGGCCAACTTGTTTTTCAAAACCTGAAAATATTCCTGAAATTCAGTTTTCACCAAGTCGAGTTCAAGTCACACAAATTCCAAATGAAATAAAAAAAATTATATTTATTGGTGTTGTTTGTTGTTAACTTTCTTACTAAAAGAAGCGAAAGTGAATTTTTAATCAGGTATTTTTCAAGAAATGAAATGTAGGTTTGAGAAATATTTCAAACGATGTGTCTGTTGGAGATGAAATAGTTTTCAATTGTTCGAAATGTGAATGATATATTTTCCTAGTTTCCTCTGTGGGTCACCTAAATTCAAGCCTAAATTGTTTTTTAATTAGTTATTTGGATATCAATCATTGTTATTAGTCGTGGTATGTATACGACTATATAAATTAATCAATTTCAAGTTAATATATTCTTATTATTGTTATGTCAACACTCATAAAAACAGTTTAAATAATGACATGAAAATCTGCTCAGAAGACCAGTTATTGAGATTACCAATTACTATCTTTCACAACAAGATTCCCCTTATTATTGCTGTTATTACAAACATAAATATCTGCGTAATCATATGACGAAATGATGAATGAAATTTTACAACTGAAATTATCTCTGATAGTGTATCACAAGTATAAAATTCTAAATTGTAAACAATCACGGAGGATTCGTCGTATATAATTTTGACGCAAGTTTGTGGTGGATTTAACGAACGATGTAAATTTATTTCACTCTAATCTAGTTCGCGATTTTATTGCCCGTGAAATCAGGGGAAACATAATCTGAAAATATAATTTCTTTGTTTGAGTTGAACGGGTTAAGAATAATTAAAGTCATTTGTTTATTGTTTGCAATGCATAGTGTGAGAATAAGTATCCTATGAAATTTTCAATTTTTCGACAGTTGATTACACTCATTGAAAATTGTGGAAGATATTGATACACAACCTACATTTTATTACAGTTCACACCAGTTTATTAGAAATTTGAGATTCTAATTATTTCCGAAATAATTTTCAGTAAAAAAACATTACATAACCCTTCCCAATGTATCTCAAAACTTGTTTATACTTATGGTCGTACTCGGAATTCACTCTATTACTTGAAACCTCATAAGATTGTCGGTGGAAAGAAAAACTTTATTATAGCAGTGCTTTTTGATATTATTTTTAATGTGTTTTTAAAGTGGAATGTTGCGACGGAATGTTGCTGCCCTTCGTTTTGATGTTCAACTCAGTACACCTCGAACTCTTTCATTTGGAGAACTGTGTGTATATGGAATAAACTTCCTCAGAACTTTCTCCAAGTGAATTAAATCTTCAGCGATTCATTTCTAACGTGAATCGCACATGCACCGCTCTGAGAGAGGATTCTTCTGTAGTGTTTGTGTTCTGAGTTTGATTTATATAAATCGTCAATTTGGTGGTGCTTTCCTTTGACCCCTGTGCAATCCTCGATGAAGTTTGTGGCAATCCGCAATAACAGCCATGTTTTGAATAACATACTGACAACTATTTTCCAGCTATCTAGCCTAATACCACTAATGGATGGGATATCTTTGTATTTATTGATTTTCCACAATTTTGAATTCATCGATACATGTTTCAGACAAGTAAAGATAACCCGACATATTATTCATACTGGAATATCACATTCAAATGTGAAGAGAACTAGTACAAAGCGAACTATTTTTAGAAGAGTGATAATTAAGAACAACATTTAGTACAGAGTCTCTAGTTTACTGCTAAGTACAGTAAGGTGTAAATTTTTAAAAACGTTGTTTTCATCCGCCATTCAAAACAGCTCAAATCGTACAGAAGAGATGAAAAGAATGAGCTAGCTGTTCTCGTAAAACCGTCAGTAACAAAAGGTCCAGTCTCCTGTTGGTCCCTTACAGGTTAGAACTTGCCCAAGAAACATTATATACTCGATATTTGTTTTCAAATAACCTCAAAAATCAGTAAGTCACACATTCCTTGATACTGAATTGAAATTTTGAGGCGCCCTAAAATTTCAATTCATGTCATTTATTGCTTGTTCAAGATTGACTGAAGACTCGGACCTTTTGAACATCAAACAGTAAGTTTACGAAAATCAAAAACAACTTTGCTGGACTAAGCAACATTTGCGAAAGAGAATGAGTAAAAATTATTTAAATAAGATAACAGGTAAACCTGAGGTAAAATAAATTCAAAACATGCACTTTTACCAATCTCCAGAAATGTAATAGTCTTCTCTTTTTCTCTTCATCTCCTGAAGACGACAAATTGGTTGGTGAAACGTCGAGATGAGTATTACATTACTGTTGACTGGGAAAAGTGCGTGTTTTGGGTACAAATCAGAGTTGAACTTATTCTATTTTATCACCAGAATGGACATTGTTTTGAATCACAACAATCTCGACTTATATTGATCAATTTAAAACTGAAACAACATTTCTCTTTCAATCACCTAGTAATGTGGATATTTCCTAATGGAAAATCACAGAATCTAGAGGTCAATAGGCGATCATTTGTGAAACTATAAATGATAGGAATCATCAATTAATTACATTATATAATAACCCATATTACAAATTGAACTGTAATAAACGATCAAGTTATTTGAAGGTAAAGATTTCCACGGAAATCATTGCGAATTATCGGTGCAGAAATTGATTATAACGGGTTTTGTGGACCGTAATTATCAGGCAAACCTTGGACGATAACACTGCATGAGAAATTGAAATGAAGTTAGTTGATGTAATCGATTACTGAATATCGTATGCAACATTTTAAATTCCTTTGAGGAGTTTATAACAGTTTCTACGACTTGAACTGATGTTTACATTATTTATGGAAAGTAGAAACGCCAGAGGGTTGGAGTTACGTTTCTTGTATGAGCATCAATCAACATAGATTCAAACATAGATCACATTATCTTACAATGAAGTATTGAGGTGGAATTATCACAGATAAATCATTCTCCCAATTACCAAACATTTTCTTTCTCAGTTTGTATTCCAAATATTCGTTATGGAATCGAATCAGATATCATTCACAGGATTGCTACACAATAAAGTAAATGAAAGGTAAAATTTCTTCGCCATGTGACACTTGCCTTATTGGCTCTTCAATACCAAATCTTGATAACATCATACGAAAAAACACTCAATTCATTCATGAAATCACGTCTTTTTGCCACGAATGAATTCATCTATGCATGTAATCGATGACAGTAAGTATTGACATTCAATTGCTCATTTGATTAAATCCCAGCCTTAAGAATCTTGTTTTAATTAAAAGAGATATATTTTTAGAAGAAAAGAAGGGTCTTGTATTTCTACTTCCTACATCTTTATACAAAAAAATGTGGGAATCTTTTAAAGAAAGGAAGGAACCAATCAATTCCCAATAGGTAACTCTATATCAAATAGAATAAAAAATAGTTTATCAGTCATGTATACTTTGCTTTGTAAANGCGAACATTTTTGAAACTTATATAAAAAGGCTCGCTTTATGCAAGAACAGTACTTGAAGAAAATTACCTATTCTCAATAAAAAATACAAAAAAATGCCAACTTCTGTAGTGGAAAATAATTAAAATTTGATTAAAGGCTTTCACATTTTGAAGCTCTTAATTTTTGTAGCAAAAAGACATATTTCTTCCCAAAATTCGATAATATTTCCCAAATATTTTTCAATAAATATGTGACGTATGTCTTTACTGGGCCCGAATTGCTACATAATTGTCTATAGCTTTTTTCAATTCAGAGTGTGCACTTTCACCTTTCCATTGTTTTATAATCAAATCCACAATATTGACGTAAAAAACGAATATCTGTATGGACTTTGTTTGGAACGTTTAAAAAAAGGGGTTTAATAGAGTTTTTCCGTAATCAGATGTTATTCCCATACAAACAACCCTCAAAAGCCGAAACTTGTGCGAGGTAAGGGTTATCGAGGCTCCACCTTTTATCGTGTGATTCCTAGGTAGTAGAGTATTTTTGCTCCCTTGTTCATCCCTTCAAATGCTAGCTAACAATTGTCGAAAGATATGACCTCTCTTCTAGAGATTAATAAAAAGTAAATTTTGAAAATGTCGTGGATATTGAATTTGCAGTATACACCTGTGATCATGATTTCAAGTAAAAAGCCAAATATTAATTTTTTTGTTCATNAATATTAGTTTTTTGTTCATTAAAAATTATCGAATAAATCAAAATTGAAACTCACCCTGATATTTCGAGTAGTAATCCACAAAAAAATGTTCAAATCACTACCATCTCAAGAAAAGTAAAGCTATCACTCGATAACCGCATCGTGAATGAAGCCCCAAACTGTAACTGTCACAGGCTTTCACAACGGGCAATACGTTTACACTGATCGTGGAACAGCTGAACACGGACTACCTCGGCTATATTGATATCTTTTGGATTTTAACCTGGGAGTATGCCAGCCGGCTTTCGTCTATCCTCTCCGTCTATTTTTTGTCTTGCACAGCCGACTCTGCTTTGAGTGATCTTGATAAACGAGACAATGGATAATAATTGTTAGTTTACTGTTCCAGCTAGTAAATAAATAGAATTACCAAGTTTACTGATGGAGGGGTTAATTGATTTTTAATTTTATTGTAGTTGATTACATGGGAATACGGACACTTCTGGGGTTTTGCTTTTGATTACATATGTTTTAATAAATAATTTAAGTGTGGATAATTTGTTGACCAGAAAATAATCGCCCAAATATGACATAACAACCCGAATAGCACGTTTATATTCAATAATGTATATTAGTTTTACTGGATACTGATGCCACCGTATATAAGAATGAAATCTACCCTTCTATTCTTAGAATTAAAAAATTGCTCCCTTTTCCCATTCATCGGTCAAACCTCATACGAGTCACATACAGTACATTTCTTTAATGTCCCCCTCCTTTTATTTTTTGAACGGGCCAACTCAAAAAATTGAAATTAGGGATAATGAAATTAATGCATGAATATATGAAAAAAAAAATTAAATAAACATCATTTTGACACATAATTTTGAATATCCTGACGAATACTTCACAATCCCAGAATATGAAGTCAATATCTTCACTTACTACAAAATGGCGGAACATTTAATAATTTCCTGAAGACCAACACATTAATATCGACATTTCTAGAAATATTCCTTTTTATCTGCCATATGGCAATTCCAACAACCCGATAAGGTTTGTTAAGTTAATTTTTATTTATAAAAACGACAAATCAAGGTAGTGTCTATCATTAACATAAAGCCGATGATTTCCGATAACTGAAAATCGAATTCCTTCAGAGTATCATTCCTCGAACTAGGTTGAAGCGGACAATAAACAACAGATTTGTCATCGCCCCATCTGCCTGTAAAGAAGTAAGCAACCGCCTATTGACCCACTGACTATATGTGAAAAGTATTCATTCCTTATACAAGGAATTGGGCAGATTTTGGATATGCGGGGACTAGAAATTGATGAATAAAGCAATATTTTTTGAGACAAATGAAAGTTCACCCTGTTTTTGTATATTATTATTATTGAATAACTTTTTTCGAGATCAATTGCCCTAACACCAAACTGATATGTTTGCACTTGACGCGCGTTTCGCCAACAAAGTTAGCATCCTCAGGAGAAGAAAATTGATACCTAGTCTAGTCTGGTTAATCCTTATATACTAAAATCGAGTCTGGTTAATCCTTATATACTAAAATTTGTTACCTGAGGTTGTATACCTGAAGTCCAATATGGAATTTCTCGCTAATTAACTATCTCTTCCTAACAGAAGATTAAAAAGTGGGGCTAAACGGGATGGGTCCTTTATCGCCTTTCATGCTGTTCTTACATTTTGCTATTTCTAGACTCTCACATGCATCGAGTAGCCCGGTTTCATGCACATGCTTAATCAGTTTCAGATTGTTTTCACCAATTCTGTGGTCCTTGTCTAGGGCGACACTGGATTTTTCTATCCTTCCGTATTTCATGTGTGCACAACGCTCCTTGAAGCGGGTTTTAATCGCACGTCGGCTCTGGCCGATGTATTTGCTGATGCAATCTTGACAACTGATTTCATAAATCCCCGACCTTTCTGTGTTTTCTAGTCTATCTTTTGGATTACCAAGAAGCTGTTGCAATTTATAAGAAGTTTTATATGCAACTTTCATATTTACTTTATCGAATATCTGTTGAAGCCCTCTCGTGTATTGGGGTTCATATGGGATTACTATAAACTTGTTATTACTCTCCTCTTTTTGAAAAGTCGAAGATTTACGAAGTGCTTCCCTAAACTTGCACTTTCTCATTATGTTGTCAACTATATCTGGGTTAAAACCGTTTGCTTCTGCTACATACTGAATCACTCATTTTTCATTGTCGTACTTATCTCTCTTTAAAGGAAAAGTTATTAACCTGTGTAGCAAAAATTGCAGTGCCGCCATTTTGTGTTGTGGACAATGATTCGAGTCATTGGAAATGTATCTGAAAGTGCCCGTGTCTTTCCTGTAAATGTCAAATTCTATTTCGTTCCGTTCGTTCCTCATGAACAATACATCTAAAAACGGCAATTTTCGTTCTTTTTCCACTTCATATGTGAATTTTATACTCTTACACCTGTTGTTTAGTGCTGAAAGGACATTCTCAATTAATTCTGGTTATTTATCCACTACAGCGAATATGTCATCAACATACATGATCCAGACCCTAGGAAAGTAACTGAGTTCTTTCTTTCTGAGACGGAAGCTGGAAGTGTAAACTAGCCTTCGAAAGGGGTAGATTCCACTTCATCCATCTCCTTATCCACCACCTCATCGGTGATAGTAATAACATAAAAAGAAAAGTAGAAATCTGAATTTGATCGAATTTTCCAATGGGAAGGCGTTGGTCAGCAAACTATTTTGAGCAATTAAAAGAGTAAACACATTTTTACATTTCAGATTATGAAATGTGAAATTTCCGAAAAAAGGTCGATAGAAACAATGAATAGCAGTGTTTTAAATTTTGCGAGATACGACGCGACTAATACTATGTTCAAGGAATGAAGTACTATATTTAGAAAATAAAAACTATTGAGGACGAACCAAAACGGTGGCATTTCATGAAGAAATATTTCTGAAAACTGTGCAAACCAAGAATTGATTGACTTATTTCTTCGCAACAAACCCAACTTCTGTCCTACTGAATTCATAAATATTACTGAACGGTGATGATTCTTCAGCGTGGTTTCATCTCAATTAGATATTTCAGTTTTAACCACGTTCAAAAAACATTTGATATTATCGCGTCATTGGTGACGTTTTGTTTTTTGTTTACGTCTAAACATCAATGCGACCAGCAAATATCGTTGAATATATCGAAAATATCGCTAATGATTACAACAATTATTTGTTCATGCCTTGTTAGTACCGTCTTTTACGTGATATGAGCTTGTAGTAATTATTAGGAATGGAATGAAAAAGCGACATATTTTTTAACAACGCTAACAAATAATTTAGAAGGTCCTAGGCAGCAGTCATCACACCAATCTTCTCAGCCATCTACGGTATTGATCAGATGAAAAAATTGATTCAGGTTACGCTACGCCCAACGATTTTATTATTTTTTTATCTGGCCAATACCATATATTGCTGAGGCAAGTGGTGTGATGCCTGCTACCTAGGACCTTCCGAATTATTTTGTAGCTTCTGGTACATTATCTACATCATTTTTCTTCTATAAAACCGTTACATAACATCACAGGAGGACTGCTTGACTTTTTGTACCTTTGGTGTACCGAAAATAATCTTCCCCTCAATACAAATAAATGTAAATACTCAAAATGCACCCTTAAACATAATGTTATTTCTCATGATTACTGCAGAAATGAGACACCTCTTCAAATGAGCACTCATCAAAGGGACCTTGGTGTCACATTTGACCCTAAACTGAGTTTCTCCATTCACTATGACACAATAACATGCTCAGCCAAATGGATGCTAGGGCTCATCTATCGTAACTGTAAGAACTTTCGTAGCAGAGACAGTTTTTTCAACTACTTTCAATGCATACGTCAAATCTCGGCTGGAATATGCCTCCCTTATATGGTCACCCATATACAATCTGTTTAAAATCTGTTTAAAATATACAATGTCCACATAAACAAAATAGCGTCTATACAAAGGGGCTTCATGAAATATATTACTTACAAGCTAGAAGGAGTTTACCCTGAACAAGGCATCGACAACAGAATACTACTGAATAAATTTAATCTATTTCGGCGTCGGGATGTTACCAAATAACGTGCTTTCGAAAACTGTGATAAAATTATTTCGTTAGTTATCAATGTCCTTGGGATATTATAGCTGATTACTGCATGAATAACACACCTCTTCAAATGAGCACTCATCAAAGGGATCTTGGTGTCACATTTGACCCTAAACTGAGTTTCTCCATTCACTATGACACCATAACATGCTCAGCCAAACGGATGTTAGGGCTCATCTATCGTAACTGTAAGAACTTTCGTAGCAGATACAGTTTTTTAACTATTTTCAATGCATACGTCAAATCTCTGCTGGAATATGCCTCCCTTATATGGTCACACATATACAATGTCCACATAAACAAAATTGAGTCTTTACAAAGAGGCTTCATGAAATATATTACTCACAGGCTAGAAGGAGTTTACCCTGAACAAGGCATCGACAACAGAATACTACTGAATAAATTTAATCTATTATCTATTATTATTAATATAATTTGTTTTACTTATTATATTCATATGCAAGTAGTCATCTATGGTTCTTTTTTGAATATCCATCAACGGTTACGTTCTTCAGTGATACACATATGTCCAACATTTTTTCTATTGTACTTGTCATGCTTTGACAGTTCTTTACATTTTTTTTTGTATGGAGGTGGAGAAGTGAAAGCCAAAAAACGTTTTCAATTTAAACAAGATTCCAATGGTTGGGATTATATTAAATAAACGTATGAGTGTCTTCACGTACTGATAGGGTCTGATGAAGTAATGAGACAAGTAACTTATTCCGAAACTCCGAAGTCCGCCCTTGGTAATGATAGTGTTCCATGTAAGTGAAATTTTATATCATAACTGATACATTTTCATGTGAAAGTAGTTGTTACAGAAGGGTTTTTTCTTCTAGTTTGTGCCTGAAAAAGCTTCTATGCATTATCTACGCTTCATTGTGAAGAGTTTATTTCAAACTCAATTGCTTCCTCTCTTCGTAAGTTTCCCAGATTTTTTTTTTTGTGAAAATAGAGAATTTGTCGCGACTGGTGATAGGTGAATTATTAATCAGACGGATACAGCGCGATCACCACTGGCAATTATTGTCGAGGTCATAAATGTATTCACAAAGGGTCAACCACTTGGGCCCTTGTCTTAATACATGGAAGTATTAATAATGAGTACCTACTCGAAACATGCCAAGTGGTGCCTGTCGTTTTTCGACAATAAGCTTTCGGTTATTGCCTTA